GTCGACTGGAAGCACCTTCAGGACCAATTCTCCTGGTGTGTAGCGGCGCAACTGAACTCGTTGATTGTATAATTTCGCCAACTGTTGCTGGTACCGTGCCATGGACGCAAGGGCGCGGTCTCTTCGTTCCTCGATTAGAATCAAATCCAAAGCCAACATCATGTCGTTTCAGCCTGTATCAAAAACTTGCGACTTGAGAGTCAAGAGGCCGATCTCCAGGGGTAAGATCGCCTGGTTGCCAAAGCATAGGGCAAACGGAGTTTCTCCAGTTGATCTCCTCGGCGTTGTTCGATGAGCCTACAATACACTCGGCAATTCTTCGACCCATTTGCCTTTGGCTTTCTCCAGCCTTTTCTTGATGCCGTCCAGGATGGATTTGTTTGAAGCTTCGGCCTGACCATTGCTTTGGGGATAAGCCGGCATAGAAAAATATGGTCGGATACCATATTTGTCGCACAGTTCTCGGTAAACACCACAATCAAATTGAGTGCCGTTCTCTGAAATGAGGGCTCTTGGAATGTCGAATCGTGTTATGATGTTCCTCCACACAAAGCGTTTAACATCAACGTCTCGAATGTGTGTTAATGCCTCTGCTTCGACCCATTTTGTGAAGTAATCTGTTGCGACGATCAAGTATCGCTTATTCCCTAGGGCCCTCGGTAATGGTCCTACAATATCGAGCCCCTACTGGACGAACGGCCAGGGACTGGTAATAGAGTTCAGCTCTTCTGCGGGCAAATAGGTTAGTGGGGAGAACTTCTGGCACTGTTCACACTTTTTTGCATAACACTCGGCGTTCGCTCTCATTGTCGGCCAATAATACCCCTGCGTTATAGCTCGATGGGCCAAAGAACGCCGCCAGAATGGGCACCACAACTACCCTCATGTATCTCACTCAGAAGCTCCTCGATTTTGTCTGGGTGCACGCATTTCAAATACGGACCAGAGAGGAATTTTTTATAGAGCCCTCCTTGCGGATCTAAGTAGTATCTCATGGCTTTGTTTCGCAACTTGTGCGCTTCTTTCTTCTCCTCTGGGAGTTGGTTAGAAAACAGAAAAGCAGCAATGGGATCCATCCAGCTTGGGGCATATTCTATAATGTTAATCTGGATTTCCTCCGAAGGGCCAATGCTTGGCTCCGAGATGAAACCTACATCGATAGTCCGTTTAATCTTTGAGTTGATGGCGGAGGCTAGGCAAGCCAAGGCGTCGGCATGGGTGTTCTGATCACGTGTTATCTGGTTCAACTCATGATGGTCGAATTTTGCCAACAAGGAATTGGCCATTTTTATGTAGGCCACCATGCGGTCGTTCCTTGCCGCATACTCCCCCTTTAGTTGGTTGATCGCTAGTTTTGAATCACAAAACACAAGCAAACACTAAGCGCCAAGAATGTGCGTGTTCCGTAAACCGGCTAGGAGGGCTTCGTATTCGGCTTCATTATTTGATGTTTCGAAGCCAAGCTTGACGGCCTGCTCAATTATTGCGCCTTCAGGAGACATGATGATAACTCCGGCTCCACTGCCCCGCTGATTGGACGACTCATCACAATACAACTGCCAAATATCCCCAACATAAATCCTCCAGTTTGGTTTCGGTCGAATTTCGTCAGGCTTGAAGTCGGTCAGGACACCAGTGAATTCGGCGACAAAATCGGCAAGCACCTGCCCTTTGATTGAGGTTCTGCGTAGAAATTGAATATCGTATTGGCCAAGTTCCAGAGCCCACTTTGAAACACATCTAGAAGCTTCTGCACTACGTAGTACAGACCGGAGGGGATAGTCTGTTAGCACCCTAATGCTATGACCCTAGAAGTAATGCATCAGTTTCCTCACCGCCATGACTAGGGCTAGGATGAGCTTTTCCAGTGGAAGGTAGTGTGTTTCGGCATCAACCATTGCCTTGCTCACATAATACACCGGCCGTTGCTCTCCCAGCTCTTCCTTTATCAGCACGGCGCTGACAGCCCAGTCGAAAACTGCCAGATACATAATGAAGCGGGTCGCCAAGAGAGGGTGTTGCCAAGAGTGGTACTAAGCGGAGGTATGTCTTAAGGCCGTTGAAAGCGGCTTCGCATTCAAAGGACCATTCAAAAGCCTTGCCCTGTCGTAGTATATGAAAGAATTGTCGGCAGCGATCTGTGGAACGGCTGATGAACTTATTGAGCGCGGCGGCCATCCTTATTAACTTTTGCACCTCTTTTATTGATCGGGGGGAGCTGAGCTCCAGGATTGCTGTGATCTGCCTTGGGTTAGCTTCGATTCCTCGGTGATTGACGATATATCCCAAGAATTTGCAAGAGCCGATTCCAAAGGCACATTTGGAAGCATTCAGCTTCATTCCATATTTGCATACGATGCCGAATGTTTCTTCAAGATCGGCTATATGATTCTACTTTACCTTTGACTTGATCACCATATCATCAATGTACACTTCCATTGTGCGACCGAGTTGCTTTTTGAACATGGTGGTGACTAGTCTCTGGTAGGTTGTCCCGGCATTCTTCAGCCCAAAAGGCATAACCTTATAACAGTAAGTTCTTCTTGGGGTGAGGAATGCAGTTTTCTTCTGGTCCTCCGGATGCATGGCAATTTGATGGTAGCCTCTGTAAGCATCGAGGAAACTATGCGCTGATGGCGTGCTGTAGCATCTACCAGTTGGTCTATCTTTGGGAGAGGAAAACAGTCTTTGGGGCAGGCTTTGTTTACGTCTGTGAAATCAACGTAGACTCGCCATGTACCGTTCTTTTTCTTCACAACTACAGTATTAGAGAGCCGTGTGGGGTAGGTAACTTCCCTGATTGCCCCTGCATCAAGCAGCCGGTCAACCTCTTCAATCACGGCGGTAGTGTGCTCTGCGACAGATCGCTGATTTTTCTGAACGATCAGCTTGCACTTAGGGCCAACATTCAAACGATGCTCGAAAATAGTTGGGTCGACGCCCGGCATTTCATATGGAGTCCATGCAAATACATCAAGATTATCGAGCAGAATGGATACTAGCTGCTGTCTGTTGGCTTGATTCAGGGAGGCGCCGACCATGAAGAATCTCTCTGGATTGCCGTCAATCTCAATTCGGTCTAAGTCTTCCGTGGCTTTCTCATTCGGGAGCCGCCCGACATCGTTGAGGCTTTTACGATCCGGCACCTCGATGGAATTAACTTGAAAATCCTTTGGCGTCTTTCCGGAGAGGAGATAGCATACTTGTGTCGATTGTTGGGAACCACGGATCTGCTCGAGGCCGTATTCTGTCGAGAAGCGCAGAAACTGATGATAGGTGCTCGGGACAGCCCGCATAGTATGCAACCAAGTTCGCCCCATGATGAGATTGTACGGGGAAGGCAGCTTGACGACCAAGGATTCCACATCCACTGTTCGGGAGCTTGCTCGAACGGGTAGTATGATTTTTCCCAACGGATATTCTGGATTTGCGTTAAAGTCGAATAATGGATAAGGAGCTGGAGACAAGTCTGATTCATTTAAGCCAAGTTTGATGAAGGTCATGTAATACACAACCTCAGAAGTACTTCCCTGGACTATGAGAATGCACTCGATAGTAAATCGGTTGACACGTAGTTCAATGACCAGTGGATCAATGTGGGGGACTATTATGCCAATAAGATCAGAATCGTCGAAGGTGATACTCGGAGCTTCATGCGGCCGTTTCGTCGCGTGTGAGTTGCTTCTGGGATATAGGGTGTGTTTGAATTGCATGCACGGCTGAGGGCGTTGGCAAGTTGTATATCATATGGATGACTGCAAGCGGAGGTGATTCCTGAAGGTCTTTCATGGCACAGCTACTGTCACGATCGTGATCTTCGCGATATTCACACCGCCTATCACTTCTTGTCGAGTCGGGAGGTGCCACCGCTTCTGATGGCCTGGTATAGAACGAGGGGGCCCACTTTATATACGGACTTTCTTCGGAGGAACTGGAAACTTCAGATCGTCCATTCTTCTTGGGATCCGGGGATAATAAGTCAGAGCTACTATCGGTGTCTTGAAGCCGGGCTCGAGGTCGTCGATCACCTGCTTTTAGAGGTCGCTTGGGATTTTGGGGCACGGCTTGCTTGGATTTTGCTACCTCCACAGCCAAATCCTGACGGAGGCGCTCGTTCTCATCGATCAAGTTTTCCAACCTCTGCTCATTTTGCTTTGCCTGCTCTATGATTGCTTGCATTGCCTCATGTTCTGGAGTCGAAGGTGAGGAAAAGTTCAAAACGTGTCTTGTTGGGAGAAGCTCCGGTCCGTGCGTGTTTGTTGGAGTGAAAACGTCTACCTGCGTGTTTTCATCAGTGACTATTAGAGGATCCTTCGTCACGTCCGCCATGGATATGCTTGAGTATTCCCACAGACGGCGCCAGTTATGGGGAAGTGGTTTTTGGAAATACTCTTCTGATCTTGGGGGACGCTCGTAATCCACCGATAGGCACCTGAAAAGAAGTAAACACTCTGGTCGGGGGTGCCGGAATTAGCACTCCGATGGACAAGTCAGTCTCTCGTTCTAGATTACTTGTATTCTAAGTTAAACACCATAAATATCACATACCTCTTTCTGGCTGATGTCTCTTATATTTATATCTTTTCTTCTTTGGGCCTCGAGATTAGTTCCAAATCCAACCTCCGATTCGGCATATTTTGTAATAAACCGATCTTTACTCGGCCCCTTGCTTAATCGACTATCTAGCCGAATAAGATTGGGTCCGAGTTTCCGTGGCAATGGCCGAATGTTTCGAATCTTGATTCTTCAATGTTCGACTCTCCGGAATCTCTACGACTTTCAATATTCGGCCCCCACAGTAACACTAAATTAAAGTTACATTATATGAGAAGGACTTGCATTCAACCCTTTGGCTGTTTTATTTTATTTTATTTTTTTTCTTCTGTTATATATAAGAGATAATACATTATCCTGAATAACCTAGGTGTATTTAAACCTTTGGCCAAGTTTAAAAAAAAAACTATTTTTGTAACTAAAACATCTACTCTTCTTTCCAGAGCCTACCTTGCTTGTGGACAGATCATTGAAGATTCAAGATTTCTTTGGCTTGATGTCAACTTGTTGATTTCTGTTGTATCCAAAGTTTTTCCACTGCCTACATATATTTTCAAATAGTCCTTTAATTCTCCTACTACACCACTCATGTTCGGCCTTTGATTGAAACTTGTCGGTATGCATGCCATTGCAGTCTCGAAAGCTTTCCAAGCAGAATTAATGTCAAATTCACCTTGTAATCTTGGATCAACAATGTTGCTAATTTCCCCTCTTTCAAGCATGGGCTTAACCCAGTTGACTACATGAATGTTCTCATCGTTTTTTATGATTGCAGGTTTGCCTGTGATCAGTTCTAATAGAACAACACCAAAGCTATAGACGTCACTTTTCTTCGTTAACCTGCTTGTAGAATGGTACCTACACGAAAACATGCAAAGTTAAATGTCTTTACAATGTAATACAAAGTTAGAATTAGTTTTTTCTGTGTCATTGTTCCACAACCTAGATGGATGAGATTATTGGGCCTATTTGGTGTAGCTTATTGTAAGTTAAAAGTTGATAATTAAAAAATAGATGCCAAAAGTACTCTTTCTTCAGTAGATAATCTGTTATTTTTCCAGTTAATTTTAATTGTAAACAGGAGTTACACCAAACAATCTGACACATACTCTCAAAATTTAACCAAAAAAAAAAAAAGAAAAGAGAAAGAATAAGCTATAAGTACCCATATAAGCTTCACCAAACAACCACATTGTATGCTAAGTACAAGTCAAGTTCAACACACAATTGCAAGAAATACAGAGTTTGAGGTCACATATTGATATTTCATTGAGGCTGTGGGGAACTGGTGCTATTGTTGAAAATCAGCGAACCAGCACTCCTGAAGCCAGCATTTCTCATTTAAGATTAAAGGTCGCTAAATTGAATGGTTCTCTTGAGTAAATTTTGTCAATAGTATTTTGTTAGTGTCACAGGAAACCAATAGGTCTGAAATGAGGCATCAATATTGCTAATTATATCATAACATTATGACTTGTATTGTATGCAATGAATGTGGTACTTTTTCATTTGGACAAACGCTACTGGCAGAGTTAGTTTTCCTTTGTGTGCATAGATTTTGGTTTTTCTTCATACCAAAAACAACGTATATTTCTATATATACATGTGCAAAAATAAAGACTAGATGAACATCAGATCCTTAAGAGCATTTTCACGGAAGAAAGAATTTACTGACTGGAGACTTGCTCTGGATCAAGATATCCTAAAGTTCCAACAACTGCAGTTGATACATGATCTCCGTCTTCATCGGGAAAGTTTCTGGACAATCCAAAATCTACAACTTTCGCTTGCAAATTTTCATTCACTAAGATGTTGGCAGTCTTGATGTCTCTGTGGATTATGGGTGGTTTGCAACCATCATGCAGATACTCCAATGCTACAAATTTAGTCTCCACACAGAATTAGTTGACTTTAGTTAAATCACTCAAAAGGAAAATTTTCATCTTGCACAGCTGGTTACTAACCATGTGATGCATCTATTGCTATTTGAAGTCTCTGTTCCCAAGTTAAGACAGCTCTGTTTTTGTCTGCAATTACAAGTCAATAATCTTAACTATTCTGTCATTCTATACAAAAATAAGATGATTCAGTTCCGTTTTTAATCTTTGAAGGGAAAATTTCCCTCTACTCCCTATGGTATAGGCCATGTGCATATAACCTATCACTACAACAATTAACACTTTTAGCAACAAAAAAAGTGGTCGCTAAAAGTCTATTTTTGGTCGGCAAAAGTTATTCGCGACCAATTTTTTTAGTTGCTAGTTTGGTCGCCAATTGAGGGTCGGCAAAAGTAATTCGCGACCAAAATTTTCATTGGTCGGCAAAAGTTGGATTTGCCGACTAATTTTTTAGTCGCTAAATATTTAATTACCGCGACTAATTCATTTTGTCGCTAAAACACTTTGGTCGCGAAAAGTCGCCTTTTGCCAACCAAATTTCTTAGTCGCCAATTGACACATTTCGCGACCAAAAAGTTTGGTCGCCAATTGTGACAGTTCGCGACCAAAAATTTTGGTCGCCAACTGTGACATTGTGCGACCAAAATTAATTTGGTCGCCAATTATTACTTTTCGCGACCAAAACTGTTGGTCGGCAAAAGTGAGTTTCCACGACTAACAAATTTTTTGGTCGGCAATAAATGTATTTTTTGCGACCAAAACTCTTGGCCGGCAATTGTCATTTTTCGCGAAAAAAAATAATTTATTTGTCGCCACTAATAAATTGGTCGCCAAAGCAGGAAAATAATACACCTGTAATATTTAGCGAATTCATAATCAAAATAGGATGAATTCATTATCAAAACAGGTCTTATTATAAAATTTTCTATATCCAAGTTTCAACACATAACTCAGCAGCAGCAACATTGATTCCAAAAACAAGGAACAATTCACAAAACCCTATTCTAAACCCCAAAAAATAAAAAACAATTCATTCCAACAAAAATTTAACATAATTAGCATCAATTTCAAAAAAAAAAAGAACATCTGGTGTTAACAAGGTTGAGTATTGTTCAGTATTGTTGTTGTTTTTTATGTAGGGCATCCAGCTCCTTTTTGGCCTCTGCAAATCTCTCTTTGTCGTACGCGTCAACAAGGTAAACTACAGAATCCACCTGCATGATGATCAAAAATTATATACTATTTGTGAACACTAAGCACTGAGCAGTTATATTTATTTCCTGGACAGTTATAAAATAAAACATTGAATCATAAAAGAGAAGCTTCCGTGTGCTAACTTTCGCAAATGGAAGTTTAGTTTATTTAGTTCTTTAGCAGATGGTGATGACTTTTATTGAATTAAAAGTCTGTTGCTCCTAGTTTCGTAGGAGTAAAAGAAGGAACCATTATTTTAAAGAGGTAACAAGATTTTAGCCAATTACATTTATCACCCTGATTGCAGTTTGAAACACATGCATATATGATTAACCAAATGAAAAGGATTACACTATGAAGAGATGATGATCAAACTATCATTAATAAATATTTTCAAGGAGTCCAATATCCAAAATCCTATACCCCCACCCTCCCACCACCAGACAGGGGAAAAAAGGGGATTCATGCATTAGCAAGTTATGGATTAGATTCCAAGGCCTATTGATTTGTACAAAGTTTACAAGAAAGAATGAAAGACAGTGATTCCCCAAATACCCTATTTAAATCTTAGAAGGCAAAAGTTTCAGCCCAATAGCTACCCCTGTTTACCTGAGAAGGAAGAGGTGTTTGGCTTCTCTTTGCTGCCTGCATTTGGACATAAATCTTAAAATCTGCCCATGACAAGAGACTTTCCACAATTCCAGACTTGGACACTGCAGGAGAATTGACCACAAAAGCATCAAAATTACGCTCACAAAAGGAGTAACAGCTTTTCTTTTTTAAAATTTATAATAATAATAATAATAAAATAATAAAACAAACCTTTCTTCAGGAACTCCTGTGAAAGTTCACATTTTGACCCAAAACTTCTTTGGCGAATTGTCAAAGTCTCTTTGGTTTGAGAATCAAAAGCTGGGTTGTCAATAAGAGCATTGACAAAAAGAAATTAAGTTGAAACTTATCAATTCACAAGATAAGATCATATCGTAACTTGAGAAATAGTATAGCATACATGCAATTTTTAACATCAATGAAATTAAGTAAATTCATCTGGCAGCAAGTTAATGTGGCTGAGCCAAGTGTTGCAGATACAATTACTACTCTTGAAGAGCTCAAAGAGACATATGAAGAACATCATGGTGTTAGAATTCAATATCAAGCTCTTGTGGTTGCTGCACAATTGTTAGCTCGATATATCACTGGTACATGGATATTACTATCTCCAGATTGTCTTTTATTATTTTGGGTTTTATGTTTGTGAATGTTGAATGATGAAATTAAATTTTTAGTCATGACTATTGTTAGAATGAGCAATACTAATTCATATACATGTTCTTTTTTTCTTCTCAAAGTGTCGTTTGCCAGACAAGGCAATTGACCTACTTGATGAAGCTTGTTCAAATGTGAAGTTCCAACTTGATAGTCAACCTGAAGAGATCTCTAATATAGAAAGGAAAATAGCTCGGTTAAAAATTAAACTTGATGCTCTTGACAAGGAGAAAGACAAAGATAGTAGGGCTCAGCTTGTTTTTTTTTTTTTGATCGGCAAAGAAAATCTTTATTGATGAATGTATGCGAAAAAGATACAGGACATCAATAAAGAGGAGCTTGGAGCTAACAGGAGCTCCAAGCGCCAGTTGGTGAGAAACCAACAGCAAAACAAAACAGAAACAAAAAAGAAGGATAGCAGAATAACAAACTTCACCCAAGCTACATAGCAGGGTAGCACTACTGACTACAACATCACTATGAACGTCACCCAAACTTAAGGAACAAACCCACTGCTGCTACCAATCCGCTCGACTTAAAAATCTGGACAGCAACTAACCGTAAGGAGCAGAACCAATGGCTACAGCACTGCCAAGCAAACCAGAGAATCAGACTGCAGATCAAATTGCACAACAGGTCAAACCTGCAGCAGCAGCATCAGCAAAACCACTAACAGTAACACTGCATAGGCGTTCACAGACCAAAATTATTTTACCAAACAGAACTGTCATCAGAAGCATTCCCTAGCAACACGAAGTGAATCTGTTCAGTGGCACCCACAAACCAAAATGGAGCAGCAGGCAGTGCATGTGGATATACCAGAATTGGACTGCCAGAGCACAGATAGAGCACTGATGCACAGCTAGACCAAACCAGCAAACATAACAAAAAGGCAGGCATGCAGAACAAAATAGCAGAACAGCAACTGACAGAGCATCAACTCAGCTTGTTGAAGTGAGTATGTTGTCATTATTTGTCATTATAGTATATTTAGGATTTGATAATGGTTTATTTTAGTGGTAAATTTTATTTATACGAGAAATTCACTGGTTATTCATTACTCTCATTAATTGCATTCAGCTATTAAGTTGTGTGTTACATTACAATCGTTGTGCATTTCATAATCTTTCTTAAAGTATAATTATATAATAATGCAATAGGGTGAATTGAAAAGGTACGAGTTACATTCATTAATGGTGGTAGTCATATTGCATATTGATGGACCTATTTTCCTATGACAAATTGCTGGAGTAATTGGAAGATGAGCATCGAATGTTGGAGTTAACTTAGCATATAATAGCATTGATTATATTGATTCACAATTAATTATTTATTTATTTGGGTTATTATACCAACACTATGTAATGGTAATTGTTTTTTTTATTTTTTATTATTATTATTTTGAATCAAAACTTCAACCACTATTTTAGGTAAGAAAACAGTTTGATGATTTGGGGGACAAGCTTCAACCTTTGAAGATGAAGTACACAAAAGAAAAGGAAAGGATGGATGAGCTTCGCAGACTCAAACAAAAAAGAGCGGAGCTCTTGTTGGCATTAGAAAAGGTTCATACAAGATGCAATTTACCTAGAGTTGTGGAATTGAGACGCAGTCCAATTCAAGAAGTTGAGGTTGCAATAGCAAAGCTTGAAAAGATCATAGAGGAAAATGTAATGGTGACGGATATTATTGGACCAGAACAAATAGCAAAAGTAGTGAGTCGTCGAACTAGCATACCTGTGACGAAGCTTGACCAAAATGAGAAAGTGAGGTTGATGGACTTTGCTAATGGGTTGCATCAAAGAGTGGTGGGACAAGATGAAATAGTCAAGGCTGTTACCGAAACTGTGTTGAGGTCGAGGCTTGGGCTGGGAAGGCCTCAACAGCCCATTGGTTCGTTCCTTTTCTTGGGTCCAACAGGTGTTGGGAAGACTGAGCTTGCTAAGGCTCTTGCGGAACAATTGTTTGATGACATAAATCTATTGATTCGGTTTGACATGTCTGAATTTATGGAGCAACACTCAGTTTCCCGATTAATTGGTTCTCCACCTGGGTAAGTGCACTGGTCGTGTGTATTGTTGAACCTTGTATTTTAAATTATTCTTTCTGAGATATGAGATTACTACAAGGATGATTACGTACCTAATGTATAGTATATACTACTGATGATTTCAGCTATCAAGGGTATTTGAAAGGTGGGCAACTCACAGAAGCTGTGAAGAAACAACCATATAGTGTCATATTATTTGATGAAGTAGAGAAAGCACATTCCAATGTTTTCAATACCTTGCTTCAAGTTTTTGATGATGGAAGGTTGACTGATGGCCAAGGCTGCACAGTCGACTTCACCAACACACTCATCATTATGACTTCCAATATTGGAGCTGATTATCTTTTAAAGGCATTAATGAACAAGTGTACAATGGAAAGTGCTCAGGAGTCAGTGAAGCAAGAGGTGAAACAACTGGTAGAGACACAATGCCATGAAAATTTGAAATTTTCAATAGATATGCCTCTTTTTTCCTTACATATATAAATAAATAAAATTAATTTACTATTATTGATAGGTGAGGAAGCACTTCAAGCCCGAGTTGCTTAATCGGCTAGATGAGATAGTAGTATTTGATCCTCTTTCTCATGAGCAACTGGCCAAGGTTGTGAGGCTTCTATTGAAGGATGTTGCAATCCGCGTGGCTAAGAAGGGTGTTGCCTTAAGTGTGAGTGAAGCAGCATTGGATGTTATGTTAGTGGAGAGTTATGACCCCGTAAGTATTATGACTTTCTTTTATTAGTTCATTCCTTCTCAATTTCTACTAAATTGTACCTTTTTGTACCTTGTTCATTCCTTTATTGTTGTGTGTATTCATGTATTGCAATACAATTTTCTTCAACAGAGTGTATTTTGCTAACCAAAAAAAAAAAAATTTAATTGCTTCCAGGCATATGGTGCGAGACCTATTAGAAGATGGTTGGACAAGTGGGTGGTAAATAAGTTAACAGATATGCTTTTAAAAAGTAAGGTTGATGAAAATTCAACTGTTTATATAGATGCTGCGTCTAACGGGAAGGAGTTGACATATCAAGTTGAAAAAGATGGGGGATTAATGAATGGCGCTGGGCAAAGGTCAGACTTCTTTTTTCGAATCCATGATGGGCCGAGGAGTGATTTTGCGCAAGTGGTGAAAAAGATGAAGATGAAGATTGAAGAAATAGATGGTAATGATAATGATGTGCAAGTGGTGAAAAAGAGTGAAGAAATAGATGATAATGATAATGATGCACAAGTAGTGAAAAAGATGAAGATGAAGATGAAGATGAAGAGTGAAGAAATAGATGATGATGATGATGATGATGAGAAGCTGATTGTTATGGAACTTAAAACATGGGGAAAGAGATGGGTTTTTCTAGTTTTTTGTCTTTTGATTGTATGTTCAACTGTGTATTTTTAGTTTGGGTTATGGCACTTCATGGAAATTCTTGATGGAGTGCGATGAGTTACCGATGATGATTACTCATGTTATTCACACATGATCCTGTTTGATTTTCAAACAAAAAAAATTGTTTTCTGAGTTTTCTTTTTCATTCTTCGTGTTTATTGATTTCTTTTTTATATTTTATTTTTTTTTATAAAAATTTTAAATGCACCTATTTTGGATGTACTTAAAAAATAAAATACTTGTGAAGAAATTTGAAGAAAAAAAAAATTCACTAAAGATAAAAGAAAATAAAAATAAAAAAGTAACATAATTTTTGTATTTGTTTTTTTTGGATTTTTGTAAACTTTTTTTTTTAAATTACTTTACAAATATTTGACTTTTTAAATGTATCATGTGCATGTAGAAACTAAAAAAAAATGATTAAAATATTTATAAAAAAAATGGAAAATAAATAATAAAAAAATTTGAAAAGAATTTTCAAAAAGCAAACTAAACAAGGTGAATTTTCACAAGGAATAACTGATAACATTGAAGGAGAATGCTATGATGTGTACATGTAAGTGCACATCATATTCACCTCATGCAACATAATAATATTATAAATTTATTTTTATCACATACAAATACATTCGAGATAAATTTGATGTAAGGTGGATTCCTAACATTTTTTATGCAAAAAGCATAATTTCTCTTATAAAATGTATAACTTTCTTCATAAAAAAAAATATAACTTTCATTTCTTCACAAAAAATATAACTTAACATATGACTTTTCTCATAAAAATATAAATTTAGTTATACATGATTTTTAAGGATATATCATAACTTTAAAATTCATAATTTTTATTACAAAAATCATAATTTTCACCTCACAAAATGTATAATTATTTTCACCTGAAGTATAACTTTTTCCCTCTCTGAACATTGAAGGCTACTCGGTACTTTCAGATCAGAAATTGAAGAGTCTAATTTCATTTACACGACCATGCTATATCGATGCGAAACAAAATAATGGTGTGCCATTGGCCAAAAAAATCTATTATTTTTAGTCTTTTTTTTTTTACTTTTTAAAAAGATTTTTAAAAAAAAAAATTATAATTTTTTAATTTGTCTTATCGAGTAAAATTTAGAAACTTAAAACTTTCTGTAAATTTTTTAAAAAAATTTATGAAAGACAAAAATAAGCTTAAAAAAATAAATAAATAAAATAAGTAAATCCCAAAGCAACTGTGATTTTAGTTTTACTATTTTTGCAATAGAGATTTAAATTTTTTTAAATCTATTATATCATTCATTAAATATTGAATTTTTATATTCAATTTTTTTTTAGATTCAATTTTTAGGTTCTGATACCAAGATTGAGGGTCTTACAATGTCTTACAAGTAAAAGCTAAATTTTATAAAATTATACTAAACTTAAAAGCTTAATTATAAAATTATACTAAAGATTTTGGATCACTTTCTAATTTATGAAACTTAAGATGAGTGGAAAGATGACTGAACTTATCTTTGACAAGATAGATTACGAGATGGAGTGCCACTTAATTAGGCCTATTTTTAGGGATGAGTAATTAGTACTCTGTTCTAACTTTATAATAGCTAGAATGGAAAGCATTATATTTAAAACCTGTGGTAACCAACAGCCTTAACCATGCTCGAAGCCTTTGCTCCAACCTCACCTCTTGCACACCCAAAATGACCGATCGCTAGAAGAAAAAGATCATCTGGTGCAAAGTACCAAGAAGATCAAAAACTTACCCGAGAGCACTGCTAATCAAGTTATGAATGACTCGATCAAAGGTATAATAGAGGATCGAACAACTGTAGATCAAGGTATGAATGACTCGATTCAAAATATGTCAGAGGATCAAACAAAGAAATCTTTCAAACAAGCTCTCATCTCTTCAAAGACCAACGAGAAAGCCTTTGATATCGATCTGGAGAGGTTGTCGGATGATGACCTTCTCACTAATGAAGAAGATAACGAGGATATGGAGGAAGTTGATCCTTCTCAGACTGTTGGTCTAGGGCCTCATATCCCCAAAATATTGAGGGTCTTACAATGTCTTACAAGTAAAAGCTAAATTTTATAAAATTATACTAAACTTAAAAGCTTAATTATAAAATTATACTAAAGATTTTGGATCACTTTCTAATTTATGAAACTTAAGATGAGTGGAAAGATGACTGAACTTATCTTTGACAAGATAGATTACGAGATGGAGTGCCACTTAATTAGGCCTATTTTTAGGGATGAGTAATTAGTACTCTGTTCTAACTTTATAATAGCTAGAATGGAAAGCATTATATTTAAAACCCGTGGTAACCAACAGCCTTAACCATGCTCGAAGCCTTTGCTCCAACCTCAGCTCTTGCACACCCAAATTGACCGATCGCTAAAAGAAAAGGGCAAATTACATATACACTCCTCGAGGTTTGATTAAATTACAGATATCCCCCTGAGGTTTCAGAAATTACATCCCGCCCCCTGAGGTTTGTATTTTCATAACAATTTACCCCATGAGGTTTATATTTCATAACAAATTACCCCCTAATTTCTTATGCAAATATAGCATTCAGGGGGGAATTCGTAATTTCTCAAACCTCAGGGGGGTATTTGTAATTTAGTCAAACCTCGAGGGGTGTATATGTAATTTGCCCAAAAGAAAAAGATCATCTGGTGCGAAGTACCAAGAAGATCAAAAACTTACCTGAGAGCACTGCTGATCAAGTTATGAATGACTCGATCAAAGCTATAACAGAGGATCGAACAACTGTAGATCAAGGTATGACTGACTCGATTCAAAATATGTCAGAGGATCAAACAAAGAAATCTTTCAAACAAGCTCTCATATCTTCAAAGACCAACGAGAAAGCCTTTGATATCGATCTGGAGAGGTTGTCGGATGATGACCTTCTCACTAATGAAGAAGATAACGAGGATATGGAGGAAGTTGATCCTTCTCAGACTGTTGGTCTAGGGCCTCATATCCCCAAAATTAGACTTCCCTCGTGATTTATTAAGCACATTCGTAAGCCACGGAAAGATTGCCTAATAGTCAGATTGCTTGGAAAAATGCTAGGGTATAAATTTCTAGTCTCCAAACTCAGTAAGATTTGGGGATTACAAGGGGATTTTGAAGCAACTGACCTGGGCCTGCGTTTCTTCTTAATCAAATTTGAAATGCGATCTGATTGTAGCAGAGTGCACACAGAGGGCCCTTAGATCACAATGGATCACTATTTAACTGTCAGAAGATGGGAGCCTGATTTTAAACCATATGAGGCTGGAGAAGTAGCTACAGCATTATGGGTCCGATTTCCACAACTTCCCATTGAATACTACAACGAGAAAGTACTCTTCCACATAGCTAAGGCCATTGGAAAACCTCTTAAGATCGATCTAAATATTGCCATGTCTACTCGGGGAAGATATGCACGTGTATGTGTGGAAGTGGATCTCACAAAGCCAATAATTTCGAGATTTGCTATAAGTAAATATACATATATAGTGGAATATGAGCATTTACATTATTTTTGCTTTCAGTGTGGTAAAGTTAGACACCGGAAAGAGTACTGTAGCAGTAAGCCGGTGCCGAAGCCGGTGAAAGTTAATACAGAAGCTGTAGCTAACAGTCATGATGTTGGGTCCAATCCTATTCCAATGGCTAACTCCTCAGGGAAACAACTTGCCTCGGGCACAGAACACTCTGAAGAGTTTGGGCCTTGGATGTTAGTGAACAGGAGAAACAATCGACCCAATCTCACTGGTAGGCAACCTGGGCCTAGCACTATTAATGCTAGAAGATCTGCTAATAGGTTTAGACCTCTTGCTAAGAATGGAAGCAGGAAAGGAACGACAGATCGAGCCAAGCACAAAAACCCAATGGGCCCTGGTATGAAAGGTGCAAATGGAAAAGAATCATCTAGCAAGGCAGTCCTAATGCAGCACAAAGAATCTCTTCTGATAGACAACAAGATGGAAGACAACTCAACAAAGACAAGACCACAACTGGTGCAGCACAAGCAAGACCTGAGAATACTGCAACTAGCTCCACTCCTAGCCTGGTGCAAGCTACAAGTTATGACTTTGTTATTATGATGGCAGATGCTAATCCACCTAATCCTTCTTTATCACCATTCAATCCCACCCTAGCCCAGATTCCTAATTTCATCTCTCTCTCACCCTCTATTGAAAATCCTCAAACCTTCTCCGTTAGTTTTGAGTTAAAGCAGAAACCACCTGATAGGAACAATGAGCATCTCTAGCACCACCAAGGATCCGGAGACACCAGTAACTCAAACTACCTAGATGAGACACAGCTTGGTGGGATCATACCTCGAACCAGAGAGCAAAGCCATTTACCTAATAAACGTAGACTGGTGGATCGAAGAGATCAGGCTGATCATCGAGCCCAAGTGGGAGAGCGTGGGCGGAAGACCACTGCAGGCAACACAGATGGCAGCCCTAAGGCCATCAGAGTTATCCAAGAAGATTGTTCGTGATTATATTGGCCTGACTAGCTCAGATCTATTACCTAATTTCCCCAATCGTTCATCCATGAATGTTATGTTATGGAACTGTCGGGGAGCCGGTAATAAAATCTTCAAGCGAAATTTTAGAGAACTCGTATGACTCCATCACCCTAATGTTGTGGCTCTGTTTGAAACAAAAGTCCTTTTTAGTTCCATGGGTCTCCCTTTTCAATCATTTGGGGTATACTGCTTCTACCATTGTTGACCCTGTTGGGCGAGTTGGCGGTATATGGTTGATTTGGGATCCTACCCAAGTCTCTGTTAGTGCACATATTGCCAACCCCCAACTTATTCAAGCTATTATGAAACATGAGAATTTTGAAGAGTGGGTGCTTACAGCAGTCTATGTCAGTCCTACTCCTGGCATTCGTCAAAACTTCTGGAATGATTTGGAGGACACTTCAAGCTCAATGGTCAGGCCTTGGCTTATTACAGGAGATTTCAATGATATCATGCGACAAAATGAAAGAAACTATTCCCAAAACAACCAGAACTACCGGTGTAGAAAGTTTCTTGATAATATTAACCACTGTGGACTTATGGACATTGGCTGCTCATGACTGAAATTTACTTGGTTCAACAACGGGCAGGGAATGGCTAATACTATGGAAAGATTAGATCGAGCTCTCTGTAATGCAGCATGGAGAACCACATTCCCTAAAAGAGCAGTCTGAAATCTCCCTCGTACATATTCGGATCATTCACCTATTATGGTCCATACAGAAGGTATAACTAAACTCTTTCTTGTTAATCGTCCCTTTCGTTTTGAAGCAGCTTGGCTTTCGCACCCTACTTATAAAGATATAGTTAAGTCTTCTTGGAATCATACATCTTTTATTCAAGATAACTTGTTTTTTGTTGCTACTAATTCCTTTACTTGGAACAAGGAGGTCTTTGGTAACATTTTTAAAAGGAAAATGTGGCTTTTATCTCGTATTGAGGGAATTCAAAAAACTCAAATTTCTTTTTCTTCTTTTTCTCATAACCTGTTTCGTCTTGAAAAGGACCTTATTGTTCAATATAACAAAACTCTGTTTCAAGAAGAAGTTCTTTGGTTTCAAAAATCTAGGGCTAATTGGATCACTCAAGGTGAGAGAAACACTAAGTTGTTTCATACATCTGCCATTACTAGATGTAAGAAACTAAGAATTGATTCACTGAAAGATGAGCATGGTGAGTGGATTGACATCCCCTTATTAGTTAAAAAATCATATTCAGAACTATTTCACTTCCTTATTCAACACTGAGCCTGTTAATACCTTTGTCCATTGGTGCAATATTACTACTCATAAAATTTCACATGATGAAAATAACCTTTTGTCGAGAAACATTTCTACTGATGAAATTTGGAAGGTTGTCAAGAACATTAGTTCATTCAAAGCCCCTGGGCATGACAGATTCCAAGCTATTTTCTATCAAAAATTTTGGGATGTGATTGGGGTTAATGTCTGTGATTTCATTAAGAACTGCTTCCAATCTAAATCTATACCTCTTGCAGTGAATCAAACCCTTATTGCCCTTATTTCCAAAACTGCAATTCCTGAGAATATCAAACAGTTTCGCCCTATTAGCCTTTGTAATGTCTCATATAAAATTTTGTCAAAAATTTTAGTGAACCGTATTAGGCCTCTTCTCATGGAGCTTGTTAGCCCTAATCAAAGCAGTTTCATTCCTGGTCGATCCACCCATGACAACATTATCATTACTCAAGAACTGATCCATACTCTTAGACACAAAAAAAGGTAAGCATGGAGGTCTCATTATCAAGATTGACCTTGGAAAAGCTTATGATAGGATATCTTGGACTTTTTTGAAAGCTACTCTTGAAGAATTCAATCTTAACCAACATTGGATAGATTTCATAATGTCTTGTGTTTCTTCTGTGAACTTTTCTATCTTATGGAATGGTGAAACCATGGATAATTTCAACCCAGGAAGGGGTTTGAGACAAGGTGACCCTCTTTCACCATATTTGTTTGTGTTTTGCATGGAAAGACTGTCTAATATGATCAGAGTGCAAGTGGAAGATGGAAAATGGAAGGGGCTTAAAGCCTCAAACCATAGTCCATCTATCTCATATCTATTCTTTGCAGATGACCTCCTTCTCTTTGCTAAAGCTAACCATCCTAACTATGATACAATCATGGAAACCATGAATGAATTATGTTGCATCTCAGGGCAGAAAATCAACCAGCAAAAGTCTAAAATGTTCATTTCCTCAAACATTCACAGGAATTTAGCTAAGGAGCTGAGTTTACTTTGTGGTGTAAGTCTGACTCAAGATCTTGGTAGATACCTTGGTGTTCCCCTTATCCATAGCAGGATTAGTAGAAATATTTACAATGGAATCATTGAGAAAATCCAAAAGAAGCTGTCTTCTTGGAAAGCTAAAGCTTTATCCTTAGCTGGTAAGACCACTGTGATCCAGTCTGTGTCATCTTCTATACCTTCCTATATCATGCAAATCTCTAAACTCCCCCAAAGCATTTGTAAACAAATTGATAAGCTTAATAGAAACTTCTTATGGGGTGATCTTGAAGGAAGGAAGAAAATTCATTTGGTGAATTGGAAACAAGTCTGCAAAGCTAAACAAACAGAAGGTTTGGGTCTTAGAAGGGTTGAAAACCAAAATTTAGCCTTATTGGCAAAATTGGGTTGGAAGATAAACTCTGAAAAAGATACTACTTGGACCAAGATTCTCAGAGGCAAATACTTACATAACCACTCTTTTTCAAACTGGCCCACCAATAAGAAGGCATCACAAATTTAAAGGAGCATTATGAAGACTAGAGATATCTTAGCAAAGGGTACCAAATGGACTGTTGGTAATGGTAAAAACATTTCATTTTGGAAAGATTGGTGGTGTGGGAATGGGCCTATTGATTCTATTTTTCCAGGACCACATACCCGAGAAGATGTCAAAGTTACTTATATGATCAATGAGGAAGAGGATTGGGACTTGGATAGGGTTAACAAGATTCTACCTCTTTCTATACAGCACCTTATTCACCAGATTCATCTCTCTTTTTTTTTTGTTGAATTAGGTGACAACCCCCACTGGATTGGCTCCTCCAGTGGTGGATTCTCTGTTGGGGCTGCCTACCTGTTGATTTCTAATCAAGCATCTGCACAGGAAAATGGCTTAGTTACCTGGAACTGGATCTGGAAATTAAAGATCCCTCAAAAATTAAAGGGATTCATTTGGCTGTTGCTGCTTAACAAGGTGCTTGCCAACCATCAAAGAAAGACTAGAGGCCTCACCAATGATGACACTTTCCCAAACTGCCAGAGCTACTGTGAGGACTTGAATCACCTACTGAGAGTGTGTAAAAAAGCTGTTAAAGTCTGGGATCTTCTCCCTAATCACAACTGGAGAGATTCTTCTCATAACATGGCCTTAGATATATGGATCCAACATAACCTTAAAAGCAAGAACAGAGAGTGTTTCAACATTCCTTGGGGAACTATCTTTGTGATGGCCTTATGGAGAATGTGGAAGGCTATAAATAATATGGTGTTCAACCAAGAAGAGTGTAACACTCAAGAAACAGTGAGACAGATTCAACAAGAAGCAGAAGCAATTCAGCAAGCTTTCCACGCTGACCATTTCACAGGTAACTCATTACACATTAACACTGATTGGTGTCCTCCTTGTGCAAGACAACTCAAGCTTAATATAGATGGATGCTCCAAAGGAAATCCTGGTCTTGCTGGGTGTAGTGGCTTACTCAGAGATGCTAGGGGAGCTTGGATTTTTGGCTACCATGGAAAATTGGAGTCAGTAACCAACAAGGAAGCTGGGCTTTGGGGAATTTATAGAGGCCTCACCATTATCTTAGAGAAAAGCATGCATGATGTCTTGATCGAAACTGATGCAGCAACAGTGGTGCTCAACATTAACAACCCCACAACCAGCAACTACCCTTACCGAGCTCTCCTAGAGGACATCAAATTCCTCATGCACAGATGCAACCGTGTTGTTAGTCACATACTCCGTGAAGGGAACCAATCTGCTAATGGTCTTGCGAATATAGGAGTGCACCATGGAGAAAATCTGGTAGTTCTAGAAGACCCACCCAATGAAATTGCTAGTCTGCTTGTTGCAGACATAGTTGGCCTCTCTTGTGAAAGGCCTTAAGCTTGTTTAGCCCTATTTTGGTCTTCTGTTTGCTGTTCCTTGTTTTCCTTCTTTTGTAATCCTTCTTTTGAATAAAAAAAAGAAAAAGAAAAAAGAATGGAAAGCATTATAGGTGTGTCAAATTAATATTAAAAAAAACATACTATTAAAAAAGTGACAGAGTAATATATTAAAAAAAAAAAGGAGCAATTATAATTGTTTTGTAAGTGAAAAGTTATTTTTTAAAATATTGAAGCTAAATTAATTAAAAATAAAATTAATGATAAAGATATTTGTGTAATTTATAAATAAATATTTATTTATTTATGTAATTAAAAAAATCATACATAAAATGTAGAATAAAATAGAATATTTATTTTTACATTTAATTAATTAATTAAAAAGAAAATAAAATTAGGGTAAATTATAAATACACCCCTTGAGGTTTG